CATTCTATTTAATGTGCACAATTTGCGAACACCAAACAAAATTGCTTTAAAAAACGTAAATATGGCGATGCATTACTGATGGTGTTACTACTGTGGAAAAAAAGACCCCATGGCCAAAAAGCTACTGCAGCTATACAGGCTGTGATCATTAATGACAAAAGGGCTCGCAATGCTTCGTGCGTTACATGCGGATGGGTGGCGCTGTGATTATAGTGACCTGTCTCACAATCAGAAGTTTGGAAGATAAAATCCAGGTTAAGGGTCAACTCAGACCTTCTTCCCTATATGGTTGATATAATAAATTAATGCAAGGTTAGAGGCAATTGAAAAGAAATAATCTAGTTAAAGCGATACTCGTACAAAATTGTGAATAGAAATTACATTATGACGAGTAAATAGGTGCAAACGTAGACAATTGTAAGAAATCAAGACAAACGCATTTATAATGTTCTGATAAGGAAATTGGTGTCGGGCAATGGTATTGTATCTGTTTATCAGTGCCAGATGTGAAAGAATTTACTGGAATTTGTATTGAGTTTTGGATCATGGTAAAGAAAAACGGAGGCACGGCTGAGATTTCAAAGGTTTGCCTGCCCAGTGAGTGTGGAAACCTCACCATTGGGCTCAATGTTGCCAGTCTTAACCAGTGCCACCTCGCAGGAGGTATAGATGTTCACGACCACTTGTTGCAGAGGTTCACAGTTCGAATGCAGCAGGCCGCCCTGCTTGATACTGCCAGTGTAATAACCGAAACGATAACGTGCACTCCCTCTCTGCCTCACTCATAGCGGACGTTAAAGATTACCCCTGATCTTCTTGGTTCTTTCGGTAAAGTCACGTAGAAGGGAAATAATAAAATAATAATAATAAAATAATTCTCACGACGTTTCGGCCACAACGCAAGCAGCCGTCCAAAACGTCGTGATAATTATTTTATTATTTTATTATTTCCCTTCTACGTGACTTTACTGAAAGAACCAAAAAGATGAATCCCTGCAGTCACGAAAGCTTTAAATCGAAATTCCCCCTGATGTCATTCGCAAGAAAAGCCCCGTCTCGTGTGCCGGCATCAGGGTCCAAATTTGCCAAATTGGAAAGAAAAAGAAAACACCGTGAGTTACTCCATTGGGATTATTAATATCAACCACCATCCCCTACTGGCAGACGAATGCCCCGGGTGGTCACTCTTGCACACGAGACTTATTTTATTCTCTTTAGTTCTCACCTCGTTAAACAACGGTAAAGTCACGTAGGTAAAAAATGAAATAAAAATTAATAAAAATAAAATACTAATACATAAGTGATTTTTTTTAATTAATTTTAATTTCATTTTTTACCTACGTGACTTTACCGAAAAAACTACGAGTATGAATCCTTGCAGTCACGAAAGCTTCAAATCTAAAACTTGAAATTGAAAGTAGTTCCACCAGTGTTTATTCCGGAGAAAGCTTACACAGGGACTCCTACTTATGATCAAGTTAGGTTTCAGAAGTCTGTTTGTAAGTCGATTTGTTCGTAAGTCCAACTTTACTCCTGTCGATTCCAAACGTGTTGTACGACGTGTACACTAAAGACGGGGAATGGCTTTAAAAGTTGCATAACCTCCTGTAGATGTAGATGTCACTGGTTCTTCATGTTCTGCAGATGTCGATGCCACCACCACCGTCTATTGGGCGGCGGTTGAACTCACGACTCGCGATCCGTACATGCAACTGGACATACGAACAGGCTTGTTCGGATCAGGTTTGTTCGTATCTCTGAAAATTCGTAAGACGAGTGTTCGTAAGTAGAAGAGTTGCTATATTCACTGAAGAAGTATCTTTAATTACCTGTTAAAGTTATAAGTAAGCATGCATTGTCATTTAAAGTTGCATCTCAGTACAGTAAAAAAATTAATCCGTAAAAACAAAGTTTTTCACTATAAATCCTTTATATGCGTATTCAATGGGCCACAACCCAGCCCACATTGGTCTTTGAAATGGGCGGCTAGAGTCCTCTCGTCCTCTGGCTTGAGATGGCTGCCACCTATGGGTCAGATGATTGCCTGCCACCATTAAGCAATTGGTAATTAAATATTTTAAAAAATTCCTAAAAAGTGTAAAATTTTGGAAATTTTTTTTCAGGAAAATACATTGTCACGCACAACAAGTCTGTGTGCAAAATGTCAGCTCGATTGGATCACGGGAAGTGGGTTAAAAAACGACCGAAAGATTTGCACGGTCGTAAGCGCGCAAGCAAGCAAGCAAGTGAACTTAATATAAAGGATTTAAAAAAGAGTTTAGCTATCTACTGTTCACGGGGCTTTCATAAAAAACATTTAAATAGCTCTTGGGATAATTCTAAATTAATTCGTTTTCATTTAAATCAATGGCTTCACAGTTAAAAGGCAGTTCATGGAGATTAGGTCTGTTTATGCCAAAATATACCAGTGCTATCTTAATGTCACCACGATTTCACAACAAGAGCATTCTTAAAGCAGCAAGACAAACTGCACTATTGACTTAGTATCCGTGATATTATCTGGCATTTTTAATTGTTATTTATTTTTTACTCCTTAAATATCAGCTGGGAAACAATGCCCTATGTCAACCCAGTGCCAAGAGAGAGCCTCCCTGAGTCATGGTGTGGTCATTGTTTCGCTCAACTTCACTACGCTCGTAACCGGTTCATCTTTTCACTCAGCCGGAAATTAATCGAACTTAGTTTCCCCGGTTGTAGCACAGCATGGCAAAGCACTACACCGCCGCTCCGCCCCAGGAAACCATTTACAACGTAAAAAAGCTGGTAATCTAGCCGAGGTGCACAGAAAGATAACACGAATAATAACTCACCAAAATAAAGTCATATTACGAGGATCATTGCCTGAAACACGAGCTCGTCTATTTTTTCCTTCTATAAGCCGTGCAAATGATGACAGCAGTGCAACGATTTCAGCGTTAAGGATTCAATATCCTCGTATTGAGTCACCCTTGCTTCGCATGAATGCGATGAGTGCATTCTCTTTATGCCTCTCAAAGAGGACACAGACAATGGCCTGTGATAAAGAACTTTAGGGAACTTTTTTACAGTTACACAGATTAGCAAACAGTTTGTGTAATGGTCAGAGATACAATTATTCGAAGGGCTCCTCTGTTGACATTATTTTTCAGGGTTAACTCAGCCCACCTTCCTTCTGCAATTGGTCAAATGAACTCGACTCCACTGGGAAGCGAACAGCAACTTCCCTGTTGTGAACCAAGCATGGCCATCGTAGTGATGTTGGCAAGTGTCCACACGCAGTGCCTGGGAGAGGCACTTTCGCAATTATTCTTTGGTTCTTTCGGTAAAGTCACGTATAAAGATAAAATAATAAATTAAATAATAGCATACTATGCTATAGCATACAATGCTATTATTATAGCATACTATGCTATTATTTAATTTATTATAATAATAGCATACTATGCTATTATTTAATTTATTATTTTATCTTTATACGTGACTTGACCGAAAGAACCAAAGAATAATTCCTGCTGTCACAAAAAATCCAAAATTAAGATTCACTTTCTCAATGTTAACGATGATGGAAATGATGAATGAAGATGATGATTGACACGTAGGCTTTTGCGACCAATATTATTCATAATAAAGGTTTTTTGGGTTAGATCGCGTAAATGTAAATGTGTTGTTAACCGGCCACCACCCGACACAGCCAATTAGTAAGGTTTGTCACGTAAACAGATCGGAAATGTTGTGGGTTTACTCTTAAACACACTGGTGTGCTGAAGTAGTAACTAATTGGCACGTCTTGTTTACGTCACAAACATTAATAATTCGCTGTCGGGTAGTGGTTGGGTTAACGACACATTTATATGTACACAATCGAACCCAAAAAAAACGTTATTATGGAGGATAATGATGCTGCTGCTGCTACTGCTGCACAAGCCGCATCCCCAAAGCAGAATTGACACGATTCTGCAGAGCGATAGGAAATGTCGCCATCGTTGGCTCCTCCCTAACCATGCTCAATAGAGGGCATTCCACACTTGTCGGAATAGGCAGCAATGGAATGGGCTCTTTGAAGTGTGGAATGGGCCTGGCATGAATCGCAAAGTTACTAAATGGGCTCTGGGGTGTCTCACCCCCCCCCCTCCCTCACAAACACCGGCCATCGTTCTGCCAAAGGGTGCCAAAGGGTGGCAGAACGATGGCCAATTGCTCGGTGATATCGGGCCTTGAGTCTCAATGGGGCTCGTGCCTGGCCATAAATTATGGGTCACGATGATGGATGCGGTTTGGGTGTCCATCCACAATCGGAGGCCTCAAAAGTTCAAATCCTCGTCGGAGGGGAGAGGACTCGGCCCGGCATTCCGCCAGGGTCAGCTAAACGGATACCCACAATGCAGGAAAGTGAACAGCGGTGGCTCTATTAAGAGACTGGCTCCTGTCAAGGAGATGTGGAATTTGTATCACTGCGAGTGCCAACATTGGAGATGAGCTCGGAATAATTGCTCTCGATTGAGCGGCAGGACAATTTGACTTTACTCTCCAATAAGTGATCTCATGGGGAGGGGGGAAAGGGGGGAGTAACGGGGGGGGGGTAACGGAGGGTAGGGGGGTTTGGGAAAGGGGGGGGGAAGGTCAGTAAGCAATTATTGTCATGTTGCCAAAAGGGAACAATTTTGTATCGGTTTGTATCCCCCGCATAGCAATTTGTGTTAGAGCACCTATGAAAGCCGACATGGCACACGAGGGGGTGGGTGGCCAGCACCACGCCCGGCCACCTTTGTCTCCCCCCAGTGCTGATGTTTACACCACGCACCGGGTACTCATTTGAGGCTGAGTCGACCTAGGCGAGGCCCATGACCGGTTCATACAACATGTCACCGGCGTTGACCGTGAGGGGGGAATCGAACTCGTGCTGCCAAAAGGCAAAAATGCTGCATCGGTGTGTCATCACCTTCGTTGTTGTAACTGCGAACGTGTTTTTTTTGCAATGGGTGTATTATGCTCGGACATACCTTCATCCAGAAGAACCATATTCCCATGTTGCGTATGCCAGCCATAGAGGTCACCACAAAGTACATGGTAATGATGGCCATCAGGATATAGTCCAAAGGGAAAACCTGCGCACAAACACAATGACAAAGGACACCGGAGCCCGGATGACGCCATAACACAACGCATTACCACGCTTTCAAGTCTGCGGGAACAAACTCAATTTCTGCTACGTCTACTTACCTCGTAAACACTGTCAACAGTTATCGCTTTGAAAGCAAGTGTGTATGGTCCCTTAAGCAACAACTAACATTGCCGATTCTTTTTTACTCGTGCGAATATTTTTAAAAAGAACAATATTCACGAGGTTTTGCAGGAGTAATTTGAGATTGCACCAATGCAAATTATATATTACTAACCAAGGCATGTTTGTTTTCGATTACATATCTATAAACACACACATATATATAAAAAACGCATACTTTACTGGAGTACACCTCCACAATAAATACGTGCAATACCTTTTTTTTTTCATATAAACTTAAAAGAGGATAAACATAAAGAGGATGGCGAACTGTCTTTTGTTCACGCCAATTATAATTATGTGCACCGGATGACAATACAACAAAGGGTAAATTGCATGCTAATACAGACACGATGAAGGCGAGTTAAAGGATGAAAGCCTCTTCTGTATGCCCGCCTTTAATCTCGCTGATAGTGCTGGAAGGTCACAGTGAGCGTCCCGAGTGAATGCAGGAAGTTGCTCTGAAGCAAAGCGAATTAAATAGGCTCCCTGAACGTGGGTAATTGCGGTTCGTACCTTTAACCTCGAGGCAACTAGAGGCATGAGAAAACTGCAGCTGTGTTTAATGCCTTCGCATTGTGCGCAAGCTGCTGCAATCAACCGACAGGAACAGATATACCAACCCCTGCTGATCAGTCGACGTAAATAAAATAATGAACGGTGCACGTCACGACATTGGAGAAGTTTCGCGATTGTTTGCACGAGGGCACGCGCACCGTAGAAGCACGCGGTGAGGGAGGCGCGGTGGATCGCGCGATGCGCCGTTCGATTCCCAGCCACGGGGGAAATCGGTGGACGGAGTTATCCTGGTCCTCCCGCCCCCTTTCATAGACACCGAGCTGATCAACGCGGTGAAGTATGGTCACACAACCCAAATGCCGAGCATGTGGACATCTCCTAACCTCACCACACGCCTTGTAGGGACTGGGTCTTTGAACTGCGGTAAACGCAATGTTTATGCCGATGAGATGTACTAACGTGTGATACAGCTATTGTTCATCATTGCACCCGATAAAAAAAAACGCACGGAAGCCTCCATCGGTGAGTAGATAGTCAAAGGGCCGTTCGTTTTTAAATCATGCTTTCATCATCTATTCACTATTATCCATCATTAGCATCTTTCATCCACACAAAAATAATGTTGAATATTTAAATAGTGCTAACACTAGCTCCATGAGCAAATAAGATCCCCCGTATAGCCTTAATAGACTTTTTGGGAAAATGCTGTTAGCGAGCACTTATGAAGGCTGGCACGGCACACAAGGTGGTTGGGTGGCCAGCACCACGCCCGACCACCTTTGTCTCCCCAGTGCTGATGTTTACACACCGCACCAGGTACTCATTTGAGGCTGATTCGACCAAGCGGAGGCCCATTACTGGCTCATATAGCCGCCACTGGTGTTGGCCGTGAGCAGAAATCGAACTCGGGTCGCTGTGTTCAAAGTGCAGCGCGCTAACCGCTACACCACCGCTCCCCACCATGTATATACACACACACAGGCAAAGAATCCATCTGTTTAATCTCTTAGACTGTCTGGCGTTGTTAGATTTTTTTTGTTTAGTTTGTTGTCCTATCCCCTGCATCTCCGATTAGCACGGTTGGGTACGCACGGTGCGAAAGAAGTTCAAAATACAAACAGACATACCTACACTTGCCTTTGTCTTCCCAATTCCTCGTCCACTTTGCCAAAATCCAACCCATCTATAAAGGTCCAACCCATCCAACTCATCGTCAATTACACAACCTTCTTGGTTCTTTCGGTAAAGTCACGTAGAAGGGAAATAAAATAATAATAAAATAAAACATACTAAAATAATTCTCACGACGTTTCGGCCACAATGCAAGCAGCCGTCCTCAGGTGAAGAACAGGTCTGACGCTGTCTTTCCGACAGACCTGTCTTTTCGACAGACCTGTTCTTCACCTGAGGACGGCTGCTTGCGTTGTGGCTGAAACCTCGTGAGAATTATTTTATTATGTTTTATTTCCATTATTTTATTATTTCCCTTCTACGTGACTTTACCGAAAGAACCAAGAATCTGAATCCCTGCAGTCACGAAAGCTTTAAATCGAAAAATTACACAACCTTTATACTGCTGTGTCTGCCAGATACCTATGGGAATTCTGGTGACTGCCACAGCAACAAGGAGTTTAAAGGAATTTCCACAATCAGTAGAGATGGGCAGGAGCAGGGATATATTCTGACCTCTGCGTGTCACTACATTATTGTAATGCAACATTTTTTCCAGTTCATTAGCATTCTCATTTATTGCGTGTAAACGAATTAAACACGGTTTAGACCAATGGTCCAGTTTCCCCTTAGCTAACTCCCACGGGATATTAGTGCTTAAACAAAGTTAAAATAATAAAGCAATAATAGGAGACAAATCAATCGTTGTGCATTCATGGAAAATGTCCTTGAAACAAAGTAAACTGCCACATTGTTTTATTTGTCACCTAGCAGAGTTCACCCACCTTAAGTCTGTCATATTTTCAAAGCAGAGATTTTCGTCTTTTAAATGTGCTGCATTCGTTATTATGTTTACAGGGTCGGTGAATTAAGTCACGGGACAAGGGTGCTAACCGACAAGCTGCAATGGCTTCTCAAATTAAAACTTAAAAATAGAAAACCAGCGCTCTCTGTCGTCGGAGAAGGATCTTGGCGAAAGTGCATATTTTACCAAATCAATAAGTGCGTAATGGACTCACGGGTGAATTCCACCTCCAGCCGACACTTTGTTGCGAAGCAATCAATGAGAAGAGAGGAATCAAGGAGGCTCGCCATTGCCCAGCTCTAAAGGCCGGATCAATGGCACAACTTTATTATCAGAGCGTAAAATAATATTGTGGCTTTCAAAAAATTGGCCAATTATCTTGTGTGCTGAGATTCCTCATGTGTCTCGCCTTGCTTGAGCCTTCACACAAGGCCCCGTGGGTCCGACAAACAAATCCAATTAATTGTTGTATGCACATCCGCGGAACATCTGCAGCTTAAGGTGCAAATCGACAAAAAATCCTGGATAAATTTAAGCACGCCAATACTGACCTGAATGTGAATATATGCTTTAAATACATGCAAGCATGCAAATGCACTCTCTCTCAGACCTTGTTAAATGTTAGTCTATTAACGAAATGGCTGTAAGAAATGTATGATTACAAAAATATCATCGTAGTGAATATGAGTGGTGATGTATAATTGCTAAGGGAGTCACAGGCTACTTATTGATGTAGCTGGGAAATATTAGGCCTGGCCTGTTCATCCATTAGGCATCCATCTGTCCCAAGATACTTTGTTATCACGATAACTAATAAACCCCTATAAACCAATCAGTACCAAACCGACCACAACGGCCTACCAGTACACATATCAGGACCTCTGCAATATTTGGGCCAGATTTCCAACAATGTACCTTTAAAAAAAGTGCGGCTTATATTAAAACGAATAATGTGATTCCACATACTGGCTCAATTAGCATGCGGGTTAGAATGTTCAAGTGCGGATGGATGGGCATTCCAGACATTTGCATATGCATCTGCATGCTTCGGTGCACACACACGTCTCTTCAATTCCATACTTCATGTTGTTGCGTTTTTCGTCATTTTGGTGACCCAGGTCACATGCTTGCAAGCGAGGCTCTATATTGGTCTCTTCGGCCCTGACCCGGTTACATTAGGAAACTCGACTTGTGAGTCAGTCCGCCGTTCCGTCAAGTACACCAAAGCAGACGTGAATGGCTTGCCAACTTTCGATTTAAAGCTTTCGTGACTGCAGGGATTCATCTTCTTGGTTCTTTCGGTAAAGTCACGTAGAAGGGAAGTAATAAAATAATAAAAATAAAACATAATAAAATTATTCTCACGACGTTTCGGCCACAACGCAAGCAGCCGTCCTCAGGTGGAGAACAGGTCCGTCAAGTAGACAGAGTCTGAATGGCACGCTCCAGGCTTGGAGCGACTATTTATGCTGGGATGGAGGGGCGAAGAGCGTCTTGACAAAATAATTTGCATATCAAGAGGAATTTAGCATATTTATGGGAAATGCAGATATGCTATTAGCACTATGCATTTCACAAGTAGTGCTAATCGCTCTAACAAGCCGTAACAGTATTGTGTGGAATGACCAGACAATGTCACACTTCAGGAACATTCTTAGAAGAAGGCAAAAACAAACTTCAATGGACAGGTTTTAAGTAAAACTCGAACCTGGTGAGCCTCAACCAGGTCCAAGTCAAGAAAAAAGACAGAAAAGAGAAAGAGAAAAAACCCCAGAATTTCAGCTTCGTGAAGTTTTAATAACATCTCCTCCTCCTCCCCTTCCTCACCACCATCCTCGGAGGCTATCAACTCCTCTCAGCAAGGTAAAGTGATGTAAACAATTTGTTTAAATGTATTTATGCATTTATTTTCATTTACGTATGCATTTTAGTAATAAGTAGTGTCAAAATTATGTTATACAACCCCATTAATGTATAAAATGCCATATAAAAAATCTTTTCTTATACTCTGGAACGGATTATTTCCTTTCCCTTTATTGCTTATGGGAAAATTTCGTTTGCTATACGTCATTTTCGGTACAATTCCTACCTTCTGGAACGAATTAACGACTTATACCGAGGTACCACTGTCGTATATTTTAAGTAAATAGTTAAAATACTGAAAATTTTCATTTTGGCAACAGGAAAGAGACGGTTAAATGCCAATCTCTACATTAAAAGGAGCAGTTGTGGTGTTGAAAGGTCCAATCAGGAAACGTTGTACATAGCTGTTTAAGCTCCAAGTCCGCAAATTGTGAATATTTCATTGGTCGGCTGAGTCGAGCGTTACA